TTATAAAATACAGTAAAAAAAAATGACGTTTTGCTAGCGATTCATAATAAGAATTCTGGTTTGAATATATTTTCCATTCAATGTTTCTAATACAAAAGGTATTAACTTTATTTAGATTTAATGAAGCTTTACAAAGTGTATATATAGACAAGATACACATTATTACTAAGTCATTGTGCCATCAAAAGAGAGTTTCATTTACTTCAAATTATAATAAACTATTTAGTTATATTATGATGTAATATGTTATAAAATACAGAAGTTTTAGTTCAATTTTTAATAAACAATGTAAATTTAAAACATTTTATCTTATAATTTCTGCCCAGCAGTATAATGGTCTTATATACAATTTTATCTACTTTTTGTTTTTATTAATTAGCATCTAACAAATGATGTGACAAACATTATTCATTGAATTACTTTTTTTGTAATCTTTTACAAATTTTTACACAGTTTCTACTTAACAAATACAGTAAAAAAAATGAAATATATATTGTTTGTGTTGATTCATAATTAGAATTCTGGTTTGTATATATTTTCCATTTTAATGTATCTAATACAAAAGATATTAACTTTATTTAGATTTATTCTTGAAATCATAAAACTTTGAAGTCAGTTTCTCAGCAAAAACTTGCAGAAATTAGGTATTTTCTTAGATGATATTAAAATCTAAATGCTCAAAATTTGGTAAAAGCTGTGAATCTAATTTTTGGTGTTAGTACTTATCACAACAAATCCCAGCTTTCACACTGAGTGGAATGTTGATTTTCTGAAAGAGTGAATAATCAACCCGCCTTAGTTTAACATAACTTCCATGTGCTTTTTAGTTTTCATCATGTGATCATGACAATTGTTCTGATGAACTTTCCTCTTTGATACCTGCACTTTATGATCAGTACTAGATTGGCATCAAGGTCTTACCATTTTACAGCTGATATGGCTAAATGTAATCATAAGTTCTATGCTGACAGTTTCTTCTCTCTATTTATTAGCTGGGTACCTATACTATGGACAGAGAAAAGTAAGCTGTAAAAAAAATTTTCTTACCTCTAAAATTTCTGTATAAATAACATTTTCAGCAAGACTTCAGTGTCAGTCAATTTTTCACTGCTGTAACACAATAATCTGCAATGTTATTGGTCCTGACCTGGCTTCTCAGCTACATTCACTTTCCCATTGCCACAATGTAGCTTCTCTTTGCCCTTTCTATAAATAATTTCATCTTAATTTTTAGATGTAACCATAAGCTCTATGCTAACAGTTTCTTATCTCGCACTTCTCACTTGTGGAACTCTCTTCCAGCCACTTGTTTCCCCTCCAACTTCAATCTTCAAAAATTTAAATGCAATGTCAATTGTTATCTTCTGTCTTCTTAATTCTTGTTCTTTTATTGTCATCTCTCTTTAATAGTAGTTTTTCTCATATTTTCTAATGCTCAGTAACCTCTTGCGTCCTAGTGGCTTTATTGCCTTTGATCTTCAAAAATTTGAATGCAATGTCAATTGTTATCTTCTGTCTTCTTAATTCTTCTTCTTAATAGTATATTTTTGTTGGTAATAGTATACTTTTCTCATATTTATGGAACAATAGAATGATCCAAATAATTTTTTTTTCATTATCTTTAGCAGTGGATTATATATATATATGTATGTGTGTGTGTGTGTAATATATATATATATATATATATATATATATATATATATATATATATATATATGACCAAGTGGTTAGAACATTCACTTTCTGATCATGAGACCCGGGTTCGAATCTCACCAGGGCTGATTTGTCAGGAAGGAGACTTCCTGATGTTATCAGTCTGGAGGGGGATGATCCCAGCATGCTGCACCTTTGGAAAGTGCCTGAAAACCATATTACAGGTTGACCCAAAGCTTGTTAGTAAAATTGGCTAGACAGACTGAATAGCTGTACTAGCACCAAGTCACAAGTCCTCATGACTGAGGGTTTGAGTGTGCTGGCCTTGTTCAAATTGTTAATCATGCAGATAACATGCTCTCTCCCAGCATGGTTGCAGTCTAAACCACAGCTTGGCTCTGTGGGTGTTGAACAAACACACATGTGACTGAGCGAGCGTCTGCAATAGTGATTGGCTAGCTGGCCAAATAGATGGGTATCCTTGAATATGAGTGAAACTATTATATATATATGTGAAAAGTGTATATAAATATAAATAAATATAAGTATGTATAATTATTTATATATTATATATCTTTTACTTATTAGAAAGCGCTCAATATCAGAGATAGAGCTAACATATTTGGTTGGATAGATGTGAGTTTGTGACCCTGGGTTTCACGCTTTAGCGATCGTCAGACAAACTGATTAATGTTTTAAAAATTTGGGTTTTATGCTTTAGCAATCTACATAAACCCAAATTTTTTAAAACATTAATGTTTGTCTGACGATCGCTAAAGCAAACCCAGGGTCACAAACTCACATCTATCCAACCAAATATATATATATATATATATATATATATATATATATATATATTATAAAAAATTAAAAAACAGACCATTTTAAGGTTCCATTGTCTGTTTTTCTTTAAATTATTAAACTTTGATTTAACATTGAGCTCTCCGGTTTCATCCACCTTGGGATTATCCATATGGATTACCAAGATTTTCATTACTTAATTATTATTATTATTATATATACATATATAATAATAATAATAATGTTCAAAAGGAGAAGTATATTTAATCAACTGCTAAGTCTGCAGCTAGCAAAGTTGGTTCACTGTGCTAGATAATACTTTTTGCCATTGTTCCTATATCTTCTAACCTAATTTATACATGGTTTTCCCATATATATATATATATATATAAAAGTGAACATAGAAGTCAACACTTAAAGGCAACAGTCTGTTTCATGTTATATGCAATTGTCAGGCTACGACGATTGCACCTAGCATGGAACAGACTGTCGCCTATAAGTGTTGACTTCTATGTTCACTTTTATATTTACACACGCTCTATCTCTGATATTGAGCACTTTATCCCATAAATATAGCACATCTTAAGACTATATTTCTTCATATATATATATATATATATATATATATATATATATATGTCATCCACAGACAGACTGTTTTGTTGTTTCACAGCTCATCAATGTGGCTAGACATCTGGTTGCCTCAAGCCAGGATCGAAACCTGACTGATTTGGTATTAGTCAGAGATTTTACCTGCTAAGTCATTGGTGCACAGCAAGAATGAAGGTGAATTTAAGCGTATTTATTTTTAGACAAACATGCCAATGTTTGGCAAACTTGATTTGTCTTAACAAAGAGTCTTGCTTCATACACATAACGCACACATTTTGCAGATATTACTTAGAACAATTATAGTAAATATCTGCAATCTTTACCAAGAAGAAAAATGAACTGTAATAACATTTCCAGACCAGAAAAAACTTTCTGAATGGAAGATCAGAAATAATGACTCAATGCTTAAACACAAAAAAATTCCTCTTGACTTCCTTAGGATGAAAACGTACATTTCATAAACCTCACTCTGATAAAATTTTTCTAGAAAGAAAATTCGGATTGCCAACACACAAACAGAATGTCTCATATCGAGAATATTCCACATTGAACATGAAGAAAAATTAATTATTTTTAATAATATGTAAAAATCTCCACTTTCACCTGAAGACGGTTGCGAGACCAGACCAGAAACATGTGTCGTGAAATTATGTAAAACAAAGTATAATATTTTTTCTCAATAAATCCACATTACAACCAAAAACGTTTTATGCACCCTCTTCTTTTAATATACCCTCTCTTGGAACCACTTTTTTTTAATATATATATATATATATATATATATATATTATAACCACTTTACAACATATTTATTATTATTTAAAGAAAAACAGACCATATATATATATATATATTTATATATATATATATATATATATATTAAAAAAAAACAGACCACTTTAATGTTCCATTATTATATATATATATATATATATATATATATATATATATATATTATTTTAAAGAAAAACAGACCACTTTAAGGTTCCATTATTATATATATATATATATATATGGAATAATATTTTTGTGCATGTGTAATCATATCAATGTAAATATATAAACTTTGTTTGATGAAGTCCAAAAGGACAAAACACATGATATGAAAACTTTTTCAACTTTGTCATACATCTTTTCCAGAATAATGTCCTGGGTATGATGATAAACTACGTTCAACAGCAAGGCTTCTGATCAGGAGGTTTTGAGGAGTGTAGAACCACTTCTGAATTGCTGGTGTTTGCAAGTTCACCCTGACCTATGTGGTAGCACCTCTTAGCATCTCAGCTATAGGCAAATAGTTAACCCCCAAATTGAGGTCAAAGCACTATGAAAGTGTAAAAATATGTTTTAATACCAATAATATACTTTTTGGAAAAATTATTACCAGCAATAGATTTGGGAAGTAAACATACCAGCAATACATTTTTGAAGGAAAAAAACCAGCAGTATATTTTTTTGAAAAAAAAAATCCATACCAGCAATAAAAATGCTGTTGGCATTAATAACCCATTGAGGTTATACTGTAAAATAGTCCAAACAAACTTGGGAAATAACCCCCCCCCCAAAAAAAAAACAACAAAATTATTGCATTATTAGCCTCAGCCTTTTGACCAAATAAAAGCATAATCAGAAAAGATGTTAGAAGTCAGAATTTTCAGACACACTTCTGTCTTTTCTTGAAAATTGCACTGACCAAAAAGAAGCTTTTTGTAAACTTTAATTTCTTACGTCTCTCTCATCCTTTGATTATTTCCAAAGCAGATTAATTTTCATTAAATTACTAATAAAATGTTAAAAAGAAGAAAGAAAAATAGTGATTCAGAATTTTGCAGCTTGATTTGTCATTTCAAGAAGCCTTTGATTCTGTGCTTTCTTCCATTAAAACAAAAACAAAAAAAGGAGAAATATAAACAAGAACTTTTTTTCTTTTGTAGAAGAGGATGATGGTAGGGGTGGACATGAAGTTTGGTTAATGCTGATGATGGAGATCAGGAATGCCGGTCTTACGGATCATGAAAGATTCCTTATTTCTCAGCACCAAATTTTTTTTTTTTTTTCCTTTCCTCATCTCTCTTTCTTTTTTTCAGTTCTTCCAAGCACATCTTTACTTATTCATGATTAAACACTTTTTAGTAATCCTTAACCTTCATGCCCTGCAAAAAAAAAAATGCTGTGTCAAAAGGATGGCTTTTCTCTTGACACCATTATTATTTTTTAACTACCTTCATTCCTCCGCAATGTTTATTGTTTTAAAAAGTGATGATTAGAATTTTAATAAATATGATGAAAGTGAATTTATAGGAAGCACAGTGGAGTAGTGGATTGTGACTCGGATTGAGAAATCGGAGAGTTGAGTTTGAATTCCATTCTGATCCATTACATTCACTTACATGCTTATACTAAGAAGCTAAGAATCCTCTTCTTCACCCGCTATGAGCAAATAGCAGGACAGACTAAGTTCTATAACCTTGGCTGGCAACCGGTCTAGGAGAAAGTAACTCTAATTCAAAACTGTATGTAGCCCTGGCATAGCACATATTACACAGCTAACAAAAGGATTCTGCACATTGGTTCGATGATCCCGACTGCTATAGATCTAGATGGATGGGTTGAATTTATACATTTTCTTTGTTCTTTAGAATTAACAACAAAAATATTAAATACTATTTATTAGATTGTTTATTTAAACTATTATTTATTAAAATGGTTGACAGAACATTAGCTAATTGCCAATTGATTCAAACTTTATAAACTGGCAAATAATAAAGATTTCATTATAATCGGTTTATATATTTTAATAATTTAGTAAATATTTATAAATTTATGAAAAAAAAATCTTTTCAGATTTATTTCTTTAGGCGAACTTAACAAAGAGTTTATTGACAAAGAGTTGATATTTTGTGTATTTTTGTAAGTATTGCATTCCATTAATTTTAATTAATTTAGTTTTTATAATGTTTCAAATATAAGATTATTCTTATTACAACGTTTCGGCCATTGTACGCTCTGACCTTCTTCAGGTGGTTGGAATGTCGAACTGAACCCTTTATTTCGCTCACTGGAGTAGACTGTTCTAGTTCCACATGCCATGTGTAATGGATGTCAGTTATCAGTTATCTCCTGTTAATTTCCCTCTGAAACATGGCACGTGGAACTAGAATAGAACTACTCCAGTGAGCGAAACAAAGGGTCCAGTTCAACATTCCAACCACCAGAAGAAGGCCAGAGTGTACAACAGCTGAATCGTTGTAATAAATATAGTGACAAAGATGAGGACATTAGTCCGAATAATGTAAATAGTGTACATAATACCTCATCTCAGAAATATAGACAGATACTGAAAGGCCGAAACATTGTGATAAATATGATAACAAATATGAGGACAATAGTCTGAATAATGTAAATAATGTACATAATACCTCATCTCAGAAATATAGACAGATACTGAAGGACCAAAACGTTTTGATGAACATGGCGACAAAGATGAGGACAATAGTCCGAATAATGTAAATAATGTACATAATACCTCATCTCAGAAATATAGACAGATACTGAAGATTATTCTTGTAAACAAACAATCTAATGAATAAATAGTGTTTAATATTTTTGTTGTAAATTCTCAAGGACAATTTTTAACATGAAAATATATTGAGCAAAAAGCAATTTCTATAATACCAGGAATAATCAATGAACAATAGATATGATTGAACATCTAAAAATATAAAGGGAACAGATTGATCATCTTGCTAGATCAGTTATGACTGAAAAGTGAGTTTGATCCTCACTGGGTGCCGCATACTTTCAGCTTTGTGACACATCTAAGCTTAGAAAATCATCAGTAATAGGAATGATATGTCTGATGAGCAGTTGATGGTTAGAAATTGTCAAGTTTTAGTCGTAAGGCAGCACAGTATATTTGCCGACTCGAAAGCGATTTATATAATACCAGGAGTAATCAATGAATCGTAGACACCATTGAACGTCTAAAACTATAAAGGGAACAGATTATTTAGAAGATTAATTGGCTTCTATTTTAGTTGTGAATTCTTTATCTCTGTTTTATTAAATCTATTGAGATTGTTTTAAAAACATTTCATTGCTTCTCTTTATTAAATCTTACTAAAAAATGGTTGTCGTTTTTTATGACATGAGTGCACTAGTAATAAGCATGTGTATATTTGCATGTGAGAAGGAAAAGTGGCCTGATGGTTATCGGCATGGGCACTGGAATTGGCAAGTTCATGGTTTCATTTTTCTCTCTCTAGCTGCTTGGATAAATAGTAGCACAGACTGGATTGCCTCAACTTGATTGGTAACCAGTTGAGAAAAAACTACTCTGAAGGCAATATAATAGAAAAAACAACAAGGAACCATTCTAAAATCTTCCCCAAGTGCACAAAAGGAAGTCGTAGAGGGCCATGCCTAGAAAGGACATGGGAGTTAAGATTTTTTCATCTTAATTTTACTTGCTCTTTATTATAACTTTTAGTGATACAAGTTTTACTAATTAACCCATGACTGGGGGGAGAAGAGTTGGGTTGAGACCTTTCCCAAAGGTAATTGTGCATAGGTGAATGTAACAAACCTAATTGGAACTCGGCTCTCCAATCAACAATTCTGAGCCATTATCCATTGCACCACCCACATCCAAGCCCATAGTACCTGATCTTCCCAAGAGGTCACCCATCTAGCTACTGGCCAGGATCACTGTTGCTTAACTTTAGTGATTGTAGAGGAGCCAGTATTTCAATGTGAGGTAGCCGTAAGTCCTGTTACACATGTAGATGAAGTGTATGTCAAAATATAAATTTAACCCTTCAGTATATACCATGCTCAAACCGGCCCCGTAAATATCAGCTCTCAAAGTTTCAGTTTTTGCTTAAGGTTGCGCTGTTTACATGACTTCCTGTGTTATTTGTGATGATGTTGTCTTATATTATGAAAGGGTGAAATGAAAAATCATCCATGTAATGTAAAAAAATATATTTACAAAGAAATTACAGTATATACACCTGTCATGGGTATGACGATAAATTACATCCACGTCCTGGGTAAGACGATGAACTACATCAAACAGCAAAGCCTCTGATCAGGAGGTTATAAGGAGTGTAGAATCACCTCTTAATTGCTGGTGTTCCCAAGTCCATTCTGACCTGGAGTGGTAGCACCTGTTAGGGTTCCAACTATGGGCAAATAGTTAACCCCCAAACTGGGGTCAAAACGCTATGAAAGAAAATAGGTTTTAATACCAGCTATACTTTTTTGCAAAATATTATTACCAGCAATAGATTTTTGACGAAAAAATTATTACCGGCAATACATTTTTGAAAACAAAAAAAATACTAGAAGCAATAGATTTTGGGGAAAAAAAAAAATTACCACCTATAAAAATCTTGTCGACATTAAATAACCCATTGAGGTGTTGATATGCCGTAAACTAAGCCAAACAGTATATACTCGCATATCATGCAACTTTTGAAGACCCAGTTTTCAAGCTAATTTTAAGGCATTCGCATCATACACCCTTGTGCAAATTGAAACAACCACTTTAGTTTCCTTTCTTTCACCATACAGTCCATTTCAGACCCACTGAAGTGACAGGATGTAATTGATTTCTATTTTTCCTCAGATTACGTCATTTGGAGCAGTGTGCAATAATATGAATCTATTTTCAGAGTGTATGATGAAATTTGTTTGGCTTTGAAAAATGTTGTGTCATATGAGATTGCATCAAATTTTTATCATGCCTAGACACTATTGTCTTAACTGTTATTTGTCTGTGATGGACATTACTCCAAAGAAGTTTATAAAAAATATAATGCTGTACAAACACACTAGCAAGCCTTAGCAGTGAGCAAATCAAAGTACTATTGACTGTCCTGGAAATTTTCTTGATTTAAATCCAATCAAGAATCTGTGGTCAATATGCAAGGAACAACTTCGTGGAATGAACATACAAAGTACTAACATGTGCATTGGGTCATGTTTCATTGGAAAAATATGAAAAAAAAATAACGGAATTATTCATTTAGTTTCAATTAATTTGTACAAGGGTGTAGGTGATAATGGCCTTCCACATCTTCCTGTGTAATTAATTTGTACAAGGGTGTAGGTGATCATGGCCCTCCACATCTTCCTGTGTAATTAATTTGTACAAGGGTGGAGGTGATCATGGCCCTCCACATCTTCCTGTGTAATTAATTTGTACAAGGGTGGAGGTGATCATGGCCCTCCACATCTTCCTGTATAATTAATTTGTACAAGGATGTAGGTGATCATGGCCTTCCACATCTTCCTGTATAATTAATTTGTACAAGGATGTACACAAGACATAAAATTAGCATATATACTACTGGTCCTGGCTACGCCATTGACCAAACTACATATCCATTTACTGTAGTCAAATTAGCTTCATATGTAGGTCTTCAAAGGTTGCATGATACATTAGTATATATGGTATGTATTTAAATAACAAATTATAACAAAAAAATGACAAATCATTTATACAACTATGTCAAAATGACTTCCTTTACCCAAAGAGATACGTGTTCAGAAATCAAAAGAATCAACAACTGAAACTACATATCAGCTTCTTTAAGCTAATAAATTTATGCTTCATCTTCTTCTGTAAACATATCAACTTACAATGGTAAATAGGCGGGTCTCATCTGCAACTTGAACTGACTTTGTCAGATATAATTAACCCATCAATACCGACTCTAGTGAAATTGGAATGGGGAGTTTATTATTTATACAAATCTATAAAGGATTCAGGCTTTTTATCTTTTTTTTTTTAAAAAAAAAATAAAAACAATTTGTGGAAACAAAGAAAAGAACACTGCACTGTTATGTGATATCTATCCTCCTGCATGGCGGCCAATGCTGGACAATCTCCTCAGAGATGAAGAAGAGACTTGAAGTAACAAAAATTTGGTTCTACAGTTTTAAAGAAGTTTGGAACAAAAAGGACACTTAAATTTAACATTAGAAAGAGAGTTGAAATTTCTAGGGCATAGAGGAAAGAGTGCTTGGAAAATCTGATACTCACAGGATAGATTGAAGGGAAAAAGAACAGAGGAAAACAATGCGAACTGGAGTTAATGAATGCCAGAACAAGGTTTAGGAGAGACAATTTATATATTCAATCCTGTTATTTTTAAAGACTTAGGGTCTGATTGTTATTGCAAAAATACTATTTCTCAATAAGCAGACCAATATTTGTTGGTTTAAATATGAATTGAAAGGTTTCTATGATCTTGAGAAATATTGCCATCGTCAATATAATATATACAGAAAACAAATGAAAAAAAAATGCTTTTTTTTTTCCAAAAATATGACATTTTTATATGGCAAAAACCATAGCTAAGCAGGAAAAAGTAAGGTCATTTTCAGATTCAGCCCCGCCCTCAAATTAGCTAAAAAAGATGTTTGGCTTCTTGACATCATATCAATTGTTTTTGTTGTTGACCAGTGTAATCATCTAATTTTTTCCCCTATTTATATCTGGAGCAATGAGAGGGCACAGCCTTAGGGATCTGTTCCCCAGACATGGGCACTTCTTAGTATGTTTTTTTCTCAGTTGGGACTCTGTCCTCTGGTAGAACTGCAACCGAGTCGCACTCTGCCCGAAGACACAACTGAGAGATGATAAATAATGTACCAAATTACTTTACAGTAATTTACTTGTGGTATTTATTCTGTCCCCACACTAGGACGAGATATGACACATGGTCTATTTTTAGGTGGGGACCTGAGTGCGTATGCCCGGGACAGGAATAAAAGTTCCCCTCGGCTCCCGCAACCGTTGGTTGTGCTGGCCTCGGTGCAAGCACCAATCCCTCCCTCCCTCTGGCGCAATCGGAGGGTGCAGCCTTGGGCAGCTGTTCCCCAGGGCTGGGCACCTCTTCAGTATTATTTTCCTCAGTTGCCCCTCTGTCCTTTGACAGAGGAGCCCCTGAGCGCACCCTGCCCAAAGACAGACTCGCAACTGAGAGATGATAAGAAAACAGGAAATTACCCTAAAAGAAGAACTTGCATGATATTTACTTGACCCCCTGCTGAGTCAGGTTGTGACACAGGGTCAGTTTTTAACGTATGGACGCGAGTGTTTTCACTCGAGACACTGGTCTAAGCTGGTCAGAGCTTGTTCAAACTAGCCATGATACCACCAGCACAGGGACAGAGCCCTGTGATCGGTAAGTAACTGAATGTGTACACCCCTCAAAAGAGGAATTTACATGGTGTTTACTCATTCCCCCACGAGAATGAGATGTGACACAAGGTCGGATTAATGTGGTGACCCGAGCGCGTACACTCGGGCAGGGATAAATTCCCCTCAGTCCCCGCAACCATCAGTTGTGCTGACCTCAGTGGGAGCACCGATCCCTCCCTCTTGTGCAATGGGAGGGCATGGTCTCAGGTAGCTGTTCCCCAGGGCTGGGCACCTCTTCAGTATAATTTTCCTCAGTTTCCCCTCTGTCCTTTGACAGAGAAGCCCCTGAAAACACTCTGTCCAAGGACAGAGATGCAACTGAGAGATGATAAGAAAAAGTGAAATTACCCCAAAAGACGAATTTACACGTTAAAAGTTCAATCTCTGAGTTATATATTATCTACTTCTAGACAACACCACTTTTCAGGTTTAAATAATTTACATATTGATTTTAAAAAATTATATCTCATTAATTAACTGTCCTTCATTTCTGTTCTTTTATTCAAGGATTGTTTTGATTTTCATATCAAAAAATACTTCTGTTTAGGAATATCGTCTTATATAGTGCAGAAAAGTGTTTGAAATTTGCATTTTACTTGGCCTTCAACAAGTTGGCATCTATTTGTAAAACTTTCCTTAACTAAAACAAGCCTGCCCCCACACCTGACCAATTAATTTCTTCTATCTTTACAGTCATATTCTTTGAAAAAAATATATTGAACGTCCACAACCCCTTCAACATTTCATAGATAGTTAACATTAATCCCATAGAAAAATAACTCATTTTTTTTTTTTAGAAAAATTACCAGATAGCAAGTGGCCGAAGTTATAAAAAAGTTGTTTCTTTTTTTTAAAATTTCTATTTCTCTTATAGACGCACATGTTTGAACAATGACAATAATAATAAAACTAAAAACCTTCGTAAATAGTACAGATAATAATAAAAACCTTAAAAATAAATTAATTTACTATTTTATTGAATTGGTTGCCATCGTTAATGGGAAGGATATCTTTGATGAGCAGTAGGAAGGGCATTGGTATTTGGTTGGCTATTGGTGAGTTCTTGTTAAAAGTCACCACAATTTATTCATGAACTCACTTTTGAACCCCTTTCTCTCCCCCAAACATTTATCAACCTTTGGGGACCTCTGACTTAGATGCTTACTTAATATATTTATTTTCCATTTTTTTTTTTATTTGTTTGTTTAGGAGAAAACCTTGATCCAATCAAATATCTCTTTTAAATCCGGTTTTGTTCCATTCCTCTTCAGAGTTTTGACTTTTATGAACTACTTTTTGTACACATAAACCCAAAAATTTCCATACTTGACTCACCAATATATTTAAGAGCAGGATTTCTCAGCAGAAGCGTAAATACTATGCATTCTGCTAGCTGTCATTAATGAAAGATTTGACCAAGGCAAAGTAAATGGTGACCAATGAAAAGTTCAGTAATTGTTGACGCACTGACAATCGCTCTCCGTGAAGAGCACGTCAAACAACTCCTTGAAGTATGTCATAGACCATTTACCATGATCAAAAGATGGACACGGTTTGCCAATAAAATGAAAAAGCGGATATTTTTCTCGTAAGAACTCTCCCAGGTAGTTTTTATTGATTGCATCGATGAGAAATTTCTGATTGGTTAGTAAAATCCGTGTTGATCATGTGACCTGTGAATCACAAATGCAACCTTGTGTGACCAATGGAACTGATGCCACTATCAGCGGCACAATTGTGATAGCCAAACATTACCCACGCTATTTTCTTTAAATTCCCAGAATTTGCTTGAATTGATACACACCTGTCTTTTGGGAGGGGGGGGGGCTAGCTCTGTCTATTGCTATCTCTCTTTCTCACCCACTGGCTGTTTCCTCTCTCTGTTTTTATGCTTGATACTTTTTACCTCTCTCTTTTTCTGTATTCTTTTTCTCTTTGTCACTGACTTTGTGTCTTTCTTTACTAGCTATTTCCCCCTTTTATCTCTCTTTCTCTCTCTCTCACTCACTAATTCCTCTTTCTTTTTTCTTTCATTTCTCTTTCTTTTTCTTCTTTTTCCCTTTCTTTCTTTTTCTTCTTTTTCCCTTTCTTTCTTTTTCTTCTTTTTCCCTTTCTTTCTTTTTCTTCTTTTTCCCTTTCTTTCTTTTTCTTCTTTTTCCCTTTCTTTCTTTTTCTTCTTTTTCCCTTTCTTTCTTTTTCTTCTTTTTCCCTTTCTTTCTTTTTCTTCTTTTTCCCTTTCTTTCTTTTTCTTCTTTTTCCCTTTCTTTCTTTTCTTCTTTTCCTTTCTTTCTTTTCTTTTTTTTGTGCCTTTCTTTTCTTCTTTTTCTTTTCTTCTTTTTCCTTTCTTTCTTTTCTTCTTTTTTTCCCTTTCTTTCTTTTTCTTCTTTTTCCCTTTCTTTCTTTTTCTTCTTTTTCCCTTTCTTTCTTTTTCTTCTTTTTCCCTTTCATTTGTTCGTTTGTTCGTTCGTTCGTTCGTTCTTTCTTTCGTTCTTTCTTTTCCGTTTTTTCTTCTTTCCTTTTTTATTTGTTTATCCTTTATCTTTTCTCTTCATTTCTTGTTTTTTATTCTAATTTTTATCTGCCTTTCTTTCTTGTGTTTTTTCTTGTTTTTTTCCTTCCTTTTTTTCCTGTTTTTTCCTTCCTTTTTCCTTGTTTTTTTTTTCTTGTTTTTTCCTTCCATTTTTCTTGTTTTTTTTCCTTCCTTTTTCTTGATTTTTTTTCCTTTTTTTCTTCTTCCTTTTTTCCTTTCTTGCATTGTTCTTTTTCTTACTTTTTTCTTCCCCATGGTAACACTTGTTCAGGGGTCCCAGCTTTGGGCAAATAGTGAACACTGAAACTGGGATCAAAACATTGTGAAAACATAAAAATACATTTTCATAGTAAATAAAATACCAGCAATATATTTTTGAAAAAGAAAATTAAATTTCTGCATTAAATGTCCCATTTGATATGATATTAAACATTCTATGAATTGTAATAAAATCCTGAATTATCTTAGCACTAAAATATGTAGCTTATTTACAAACTTAGAATTAATAATATTGACTCTTTTGTCAAGTCCATTGCCAACAACTGAGTAAGACATTTCACAATTGTTTCATAGATGCTTTCTTGTACCAAAATTTGATTAGCACAGTTACAGGTCTGGAATAGGAAAAATGAATTCAATAAAGATTAAAACGTTATTAAACTTAAAAACGAATTTGGGTTTCAAACCTCATGTTGAAAAAAGTTCACTTCATTCCCCAAAAGCTATAAGTATTAATTATTAATATAAGTACTATATTTTACGGCTTACAAGGTGCTGTGGCTTGGAAGACACATCCTAATATTGGAAAGAAATTCCTAAAAAAAAAAAAATCTCATGCAATGACACATTCACCATGCATGTATTGTTTGCATTAATCACTCGTCTGATTTTGTTTGTATAGTAATGACATACTAGTCAAGAGTAGAAAGGCTCCTGCTGCAACTAGTAAACAGAGCATGTTTAAAATTGTGGCTCAGCCCCAGGAAGGTTTATAGTCTTGGAAATACTTGTAACCGCTAAGTACTGAGGTTACATCATATAAAAGGCTGAATTAGATAGATAGCTAACATTATAGTGTAATGACTCAACATACAAATCCACGTCCCTATCAGTCAAGCCAATTAGGTGACCGTCCAAGCTTACTTGAGCTTGGGTGTTACCTTGCATCTGTCTTGAAAGATGCACACGTATTTTTCAGGGTATTTTTTAAGAAAAACGTGCATCTTATAAGCTGGAAAATATGGTAATTACTTATTCTGGTTTTGTAAATACAGGTTGAATATATGAAATTCCCAAATCCAAAAGTTTTTCAGGTGCTGACATGACTTGTCACAAATGGAATATTTCAGAAAGCCCAGCTACATAGCCTATGTTGGTGTCAGTTTTTTTGTTAGCAATTGTCACAGCAACATCTTCATTCATGGATTACTTAGCAGGTATTTTCTGCTCAGTAAAGATATTATTCAAAATGTCAAAAAGTCCTGCATTTATATATTTTTTCTAAGTAGCGATCATGTATTTATGCACACATACAGAAAGTAAAAAAAAAATATTTTTATGTGAAATCTTAATTTCACCACTTAATAATACATATAAGCATTACATGACTAGCTTCATTACCTGTATCTATGCAAATTTTATTAAATTTTATGTAAAACTACCTTTAGGTTATATGTATAAGATATGTTATGAAATGTAAAGTGATATCGTGTTTATGCTTGGGTTCAAATCCCAAGCTGTCCCATTTTATAGATGCTACATACAAATTAAATAGACTGTATTCCAAAATCTGAAGACAGAAGAACTTCCTGTCCTAAGAATTTTGGATAAAGGATTCTCAACTTGTACCACATACCTGGATGGATTACCAAGAATGAAAGTAAAACATAGATATTAACAGAAAAGAACTCTTTCAACAAACAAAATGATTGATGTAACCCTTCCAATATTTTTCAACATTTAAGAGAAGAGTGTGATTTAAGAAAAGAAAAATGTGTTTGACAATGTTAAACAATATTTCAACAAAATGTCTGTCTTCTTCAAGTTATATTTAAAACAATTTTCAAGTATAGATATATATAAATCTACAAAAAATTATAAGTCATTGTACAAATGTTGCTTGTATTGTAATGAAAAAATGGCTGTTAATGAACACATCAAAGTGAATGAAACTCGGCCCATGTGAAGTCATGCAACTGAAACTTTCTTAATATGATGGCGATCTTGTTCATCTTGGAATTTTCTGTTAGTTGATTAGTTAATGATAATAATGCAAATAGTTATAAGTTGTACAAATGTTGCTTTTCTTATAACGAAAAAACGTCTGTCCTTGTAATGCACGTGTCAAAACAAATAAAACACCGCCTGCATGAAGGCATACAACAGGAACATGCTTAATATGATGGCAATCTTGTTCATCTCGGAATTTTCCATTAATTAGTTGCTTAGAGGAATTAATCAAACAGCTTAGTATAGATTCATTATCAGCACCGCTGTTTTTTCATTACAAGACAAAGCAATAGTTATAGAAAGACAATTTTTTGTAGATTTAAATATTATCTTATACTTAGAATTGTTTAAATATAACTTGAAGAAGACATTCTGTTGAAATATTGCTTAACATTGTCAAACACTGTGTTTTTTCCTTTCTTTATCTTTTCAAAGAACTCTTTCACGATATTTGTCCATATAAAAAAAAATCAAATTGTATTCCAAAAATTAACATCAATAAAGCTACAACAAAAAAGACATATCACTGCCTCTAGTAATTATGTCCACACAAACATGTATATGCACAAAAGCTGAGTATTATCTACCATGTATTCAATTGTAAAAGCAGAATAACACCACCTCTAGTAATTATCTTCATACATGTTTGTGTGGACATAATTAGTAGAGGCAGTGATTTATTTAATGCATTACATGCCTTCATCTACAGATAAAATGTATTGTTGGTAACTACAATAAATAGGTGTTTTTGGAAATTTCACTACAAATAGGTATTGTTGGTATATTCTTATACTTTTATAGTGTTATGGGGGGGTCAGTATTTGCTCCTAGCTAGGGCTTTAACAGGTGCTACCATGCTGGGTCAGGGTGGGTCTGGTAACAACAACAATTAAAGAGTGGTTCCACACTTCTCAAAATCTACAATCTCCTGATCAGAGGCCTTGCTGCCAGATGTAGTTTATTGTCATACCCAGGATTTTATTTAATTTAAGGTAGATTGTTCTTTGAGAGATATAGCTCAGTTATTGCTTACTTGATTTCCATTGAATCTGTTTGAACTACCCAGCCCAGGGATTGAACTCACATTATCTATGTCAGCAGATTTATGAAACAATGCTTTAATCTACTAAACTGTTGGAACGGCTAAGTGACCTTTACTTATTTGGGAAGGATGTTAGAATAATCCAGAACCTATACTGGCAGCAAACAGCTTACAGATAGAAAATGAATATACAAAACTAGAAAGGAATGTAAGACAAGGATGTGTCTTCTTGCCAGACTTAGTCAATCAATAGGTGATTCTGAGAGAATTAGAAGTCCTACCTTCTTTTTTCCCTTGTCTCTGTCTTTTCTTGTCCCTCTTGTCTCTCTGTTCATTTTTCCTACCATAGTCTCTCTTCTTTGCCTTTGTTGTCTCTCTTCTTTCTCCCTATTATCTCCCTTTTGTTTATGCTCAACATTACTTTGGTGATCAAACAGGAATTGGTTAAATACTGAAAACAAATATTGGATTGAATGTTTGAACTTTCACTTAATTCTTGTTATATTTAACAGCCGTATTCGACAGACGTGTGTGTGCCAGTTTCAAATCTACCAGAGATTATTGTTCAGACAAAAGAAGACATTGAAAAATCAGGACTGATTGGTGAGTATCAGTTTTGTTTTTTCTTTTTTGTTTGATTCTAACTTCAATTCACATAAAATATGAAAATCATCTGAGCCACTCAAGTTAGAGGGTTATTGAATGAAGTCATTTTATAGACATAAAAAGCAGGAGGAAAGAAATTCATATTATGAGGATATGCCGGATAGATCAATGTGATAGGTCCTGATCTGGCATCTCATCTACAGTCACTTTCTCACAGATGTGCTGTGGTTTCCCTCTGTCTTTTCTACAAATATTTTCATGGCAACTACTCTGACGAGCTACTTTCTCTGGTACCCGAACTGCATTAATTTATGCATGTTACTAGTTTTGCATCTTGTTCCTGCCCTTTCACTGTCGAAACATTTAAATGTAACCACCTCTTCTACTACAAAAGCTTCTTCTCTTGCACTTCCCAACAGTGGAACGCCCTTCCTCTTACTTGTTTCCCTGATAGCTATAATCTTCAAATATTCAAATGTAATGTCAATCGACATCTTCTCATGCCTTGATCCTGATACCCGTCCTTCCCTATATCCTTTCCTCAAACACGCATCTTTACTCTTGCTCTCGCTCTCTGTAACCCCTTGTGTGCTAATGGCACTCCCGCTTTGCTTGGGATGAAATGCTTATATAACTGCCTCTTCCACTCTATCAGTTTCTTCTCTCGCACTTCCCAACAGTGGAACTCCCTTCCTCTTACTTGCTTCCCTGATAGCTATAATCTTCAAATATTCAAATGTAATGTCAATCAACCTCTTCTGATGCCTTGATCTTGATCCTCGTCCTTTTCTCTATCCTGTCCAACAAACAACCCTCTTTACTCTTGTTCTCACTCTCTGTAACCTGTTGCATGCTAGTGGCACCCCTGCCTTGCTTAGGGTGAAAAAAAAAAAGAAAAAAGGTAATGGTTCACCCTAGACTTGACAAGGGTAAAATTGTAGTGGTCAGTGAAACATCGTCATGGGAGTTTGTTCCACAAAGTAAGGATTCTCAGAGAGAAGCTGAGTGGAACTTCCTTCTTACCAAAAAGAAAATGGAAAGGAATATAGATGAGTCAACTCTGAGTCAGTCAGTTATGTGCCATGCATGATGCATGCTTAAGAGATCATGTATCTTTCAATACATGACTGACGAGGCAGATTTTTTTCCCTGCAGTAGGTTGCCATTTCTTTCTGCAGTAGACCAGTTGCCATCCAAGGTTTTGGAACCCGGTCTGTCCTGCTATTTACCCATAGCTGGGGGAAGAAGAAGGGACTTAAAGCAACAGAAATCTGGTTCTACAGTTTTAAAGAAGTTTGGAACAAAAAGGACACTTATACTTAACATTAGAAAGAGAGGGCACACAATGAGGAAAGAGTGCTTGGAAAATCTGATACTCACAGGATAGATTGAAGGCAAAAAGAACAGGAAAACAATGCGAACTTGAGTTAATGAATGCCAGAACAAGACAAAAAAAGACAACATTTAGTAAGAATTACAAAGGACAGGAAATTGTGGAGGTCCACGATTGCCAAGATCCTGAAGAGGCACAGCACTTGGGACATGAAGAATGTCCCTTCTTTGTCTTTGAGGAGATTGTCCAGCATTCACTGCCATATAGGAGATTAGATATTACATAGCCGTCCAACACTCTTTTCTTTGTAACAAAATAACAATAACACAGCATAAAATTATCACTCTTTACTTATAAGACCATGTCCCTTCAGAAGTGATGATCATGGCTCTGTACAGATTCCTCTTTCTTTTTTTTTCTTTTTAAAACTTGTATAAATCTTCTTCGCTGTAATTGTTCTGGGGGAAAATAGTGATTTCCCACTATCTTCTGCTTTATTTTTAATTCAGAGTTGTTTTTTCTTAGGTTTCAGTAAATAAAATGTTTATTAGGTCTCTAAAAAAAATTAAGGTACTTATGTTTCTTGCTTGAACACAATCTTTAAGCACAAAGATTGTGTTCAACTAATAAACAGTGTCAACTTTCTTATATACGTATGCTCTATTTCTGATATTGAGCACTTTTACCCTAAATGTAGCATACCTTAAACTATATTTTAAATTACACACACACACATAGTCTGATGTGCTTTTACCGATTGAGCCGCAGAGGTGCATTTCAGTTAGCAAGGTCTATTTTTACTGTTTTTAAAACTAGAATTCTCCATGATTTTCTCACATACATTCATATCTGCTCGATGCATATCCAAATTTAAACAAATGATGTCACACATTATGAAATTAAGACATATATTAAATTAAGCATTGAACCATTGTATCTTAGAAATGACGAAACATATCACACTGAGAATTCTCCTAGGTTTTTATAACACTATTGGACACTACTTTAAGAAATAAGAATGTATAATTACTCTCTTAGCTTAACTGAAAAATTGTGATGAAATTGTACATAAACGAAAGTGACATGTACATCATTTATTAATCATAGTTAAGGATTGGAAGCTCATGAAGGATTGAAATAAAGTTCAAATATATATATATATATATATATATATATATATATATATATATATATATTATTCCAGGATCATTTTCCAACTTATTCAAGTTGATCTTCGCCCTCTCTAAATTTCTAACTTTAGTAACAAGTTACATCATAGGTTTCATGTACAATTTCATTTTCTAGTCTTTTTTGGACTGTCATAGCTGAAACTCCTCCCTCATATGCCAAACATCTTATGAATTGAGTTAGATCTTTTCTAATTTCTTTAGCTTGAAGTTGAAATGATTCCTCTTCCTGTTGTGACCTTCTGATCCACTTTTCCTTTCTACTGTTCTGTACTTTTTTTTTTAAACTTATTCACCATTCTCTTGATGGTTCTTGGATGGACTTTGAAGATGGATGTCAGAGTATGAATGTTGGTACCATTACTGAAGGCCTAAATGATCTTTTTCCTCTTAGCATTGCTCAGGTGGGAAAATGTAGTGGAGCTAACTCAAAATGATTTTAACCTGTTCTCTTTCTAACTGAATAATTTAAAGGTTTTTTTTTTTACTGATTCTTATGACAAATGGTGTCAAGATGTTTAAACGTCTTAAGTGAAAACCTGGGAAAAAGAAACTTAATTAGTTAAGTGTTTTTTTTAGATATTAAACATTTTGTGGGATGGACAATTTTGCTGTTATATTCAGTATGTTACTGAAAGAGTGTCATACCTGAACGTACCTATTCTATTATTAATAGACTCTCCCACACATAATAAGTAGTAGTAGCAGTGGCCAGTTGGGCTCAGTGGTGTTGAGAGAGTCAGTCGATGTCGGACATTGAAGTATCAACTATCACAACTAGATTGCTGCGTCATTAACTCTTATTTCAAGTTCCTAACATTTTGTACGTTGAACCTAATTTAGGACGACTTAGTTGAAATACAAGCCTCCACTGTGAAAACTACTCTACAACAAAGAGACAAGAGAAAATCTTTTTATGTTGATGTGTTTTGTTCTTTGAGAAACTTTATCAAGGCAAATTTAGAGAATTGTTTTGCTTTTGATTTCCAATGTGGGGTGCATGCCCCACCGCTGGGGCACAGTAATATTTTGGTGGGGGCATATGTAGGATGTGCATCCTTTGGTTTACTATACCAAAAGAATAAGAGGGCAATTCGAGAATGAGTTCTTAACAGTGAATTGTTTTCTAGTGAGTCTGAGTGAATGTGTTAATGTTAATACATGTGAATACATATGTTGCATACATAAAATTATTTTGTGTGTGTGTGTGTACATGCATGAGTAATTGGCATACAGGGTATTTCCTGTCTCCCCACATTCGCATGTCTCAATCAAAAAAGGATGCATGTTGCTGGAAGAGCGCATGTTTTGTTGGCCAGTCAGTGCATGAGAGCATTCAGTTTGCTTCCTTCAGGTGAATTGCAGTAAAATATTGGATATGTAAGAATTAAATATACCGAGAGGGGGTGGAATTTTAAGAAATACCAAAGTGGAGCGTGGCCCAAAATCGGTTGGGAACCACTCATCTAGCCAATTTCATATTGTTTCTTTTTCCTCTAGTTTATATTTTTATCACTTTTGCTATTAAGTATTCAACACTCTGCGATAAAAGAAGATCTGTCAAGAAAGTTGAAATGTAGTAAGAACACAGATTTACACGGATGATCAAGCGATCTTTCAATACGCTATCGTCACGGAAGACTTACGCAAATTACATTAAATTATGCCCACATTTTCAGCTAATCCTTTTTCTTCTTTTTCTGTTTTGTATTAAATTACTGAAGTTGCTTCCTCTTTTTATCTACACTTAAATTATGTCCATCCAGCTTGCTATACAATGAGCAAGCATTAAGTTAGTAAGTAATTGTAAGCAGGTGAATTATTAACCCATTCGTGGCCAGTTTGTTTTTTTTTTTTTTTTACCCTTTGTTGTTGATCCCATAAATAAATCAGTTTTTCAAGACGATGAATGAAATGAATTGCAGGATGGTATTTGCCATTTGTACAATCATATGTTTACAAGAGTACACGATTATATTGTGATACAAGTAGCACATACTTCATATAATATTATCATATTATTATGTTATTATGTAATCATTATTATATTGTTGTTATATCATCCTGTTTATATCATCCTTATTATATCATTATATTATGTTATCATCCTTATATTATTATATTATATTGTTTATTATATCATCCTTATTATATCATTATATAATCATTATTATATTATGTTAATATATCATCCTTATTATTATATGATCATTATTATATTGATCATCCTATTATATTATATAATATTATTATATTATGTTAATATATCATCCTTATATTATTATATGATCATTATTATAATTATATCATCATTATTATATCATTATATAATCATTATTATATTATGTTAATATATCATCCTTATATTATTATATGATCATTATTATATTGTGTTATTATATCATCCTTATTATATCATTATAATATTATTATATTATGTTATTATATCATCCTGTTAATATATCATCCTTATATCA